ATTTTTAAATTATTTTTACTAATTTTAAACATATATTGTATGTGTGGCTTCATCACAATTTTTGCATACATAAATTGTTCAAACAATTGTAACAGAAGTTGCAAATATGCAAATGCGAGGGTACTGTTACTTAAAAACATATATCACTGTTTTAAATGTAAGTATTTATATAGGAATTCTCATGAATATTGAGTTAAAATTAATTCGAAATTAATTGTTTATTATTATATTTATTTAAAAATAATACTTCCTTTCTAAATTTCTCAAAATATTTTCTTGTTTCTCTATACACATTTTTTTTAATCTTAAAGACATTGCCTTCATAATTTCTATGGTATAAATTAAACTTCTCTTGAAATTAGGATAAAACTTATACAGTTTCGGAGAATTGTTCCAACGAATATGTACGGCATTGCAATTTTCATTCTTTATGTTATATTTCTGATGAAAATTTGTAAATGTCGTATAGTTATTAATGACCTAAAAATGTAGTAAAGATTTAATGAAAAATATTATCAGCTATGTAAAATCCACTAGTTAAAATTGTACGGCATCGTTTATTTTTTATTTTTTTTACTTATGAAAAGTCAATTACAACCATAATATTTTGACTATAACATTTTTAGTTTATAACAAGGATTTTCAAAAATATTCTAAATTTATTTATTTGTTTTTTAATTCGATTTGTTAATTTGTACCATTAATTATAACCGGCCATGATTTAGTACGATAGTTTTTGGTTATATTTTATCAAAAAAGTGGTTGCCGTACAGGAATGAATGATCTTATCGAAATAAAAAAATAAAACTCAATTCCAAAATACAAGTAATAATTGTTTATAAACTTTTGCATTAATCATAATTTTCAGTCGGCATAGTTGTTAAGAATTATTTGGAGAGTTAAATAATCATGTAAAATCGATGCCGTACATTTTTCAATGACTTGAAACAATGGGGGCTAAAATAGAGGGTTGCGCCTTGCATTTCTAACCCCTGTATCAGCAGATACGTACGGCGTTACTAAAAAAGTTATNTCCTTTCTAAATTTCTCAAAATATTTTCTTGTTTCTCTATACACATTTTTTTTAATCTTAAAGACATTGCCTTCATAATTTCTATGGTATAAATTAAACTTCTCTTGAAATTAGGATAAAACTTATACAGTTTCGGAGAATTGTTCCAACGAATATGTACGGCATTGCAATTTTCATTCTTTATGTTATATTTCTGATGAAAATTTGTAAATGTCGTATAGTTATTAATGACCTAAAAATGTAGTAAAGATTTAATGAAAAATATTATCAGCTATGTAAAATCCACTAGTTAAAATTGTACGGCATCGTTTATTTTTTATTTTTTTTACTTATGAAAAGTCAATTACAACCATAATATTTTGACTATAACATTTTTAGTTTATAACAAGGATTTTCAAAATATTGTACCATATGTCAGTCGATATATTGTACCGTTTTTAGAAAATCGAATTTTATTAACAACATACATGCATTATATCAAAAATTCAATATTAATATTTTTGCAAAAATCTTGGAAATTGAGATGACTGTCAACAAATATGTATAATTAGCAGTTAAATGTTTGTCATAAATCATTTTGACACCATTTGTGCATTCAGTATCATGGACTAATGTATGAACTTGCAAAATGTAATGCTTCTGAAGCTGTTCGAATTTACGTCAACCACTTTCCAAATAGAATTTGCATATTTGTAGTGACAAAACCCCCATGCTTTTATTTAGACAAAGCACTGACACAAATGTATCATTAATCTATGGATAGGAATAATTGGAAACTACTTAGTGGGATCAGATATCATTAATGGCACTTTAAATGGCGATAAATATTTATATTTACTGCAAAAATACCTGAACTCTATTGGAAGACGTGTTTTCCGTGGCCGCTTCGGTTTCCCGATATAAATCCTATCGATTTTTTTCTTTGGGGCCATCTTAAAATTCTTGT